CCATAAATATAGCACATATTAAGACTATATTTCTTCATATATATATATATATATATATAGGTACTTCCAAACAAAAGCGATACCTAAGGTTTAAAATTAATTTTTGAAAATTAAAAATCTTTCTTGAAGCTTTTATTTTAGTTTGAATTTCAAGGTAATAGATTAAATTTAATATTTCCAATAAGCTAAATACTTACTGTATTTAAAAACGTATTTAAAATGATTAGAATGATTTGTTGAAAGTCATGTTTACAAATATGTTAGCACAAGGTAATTGTCTTTATTAAAAAATCTTTGAAAAATAAAACATACTTTTCTGAAAACTTTATCTGAGGAAGATTAGCTGATTTAAAGTTTAAGTAATCTGATTTGAAGTAAATATTATTTTAGTTTAAAATATCGCAGAAAAGCGTTATTTTAATACGGATGTGGGTGTTTTTATGAGTTGCTAACAACTATTTTAATAGACATATGATTGAGAATGTCTTCTACGGGGAACATATCCGTAAAATTTACTTGATGAATATAACGTGAGCGCTTTTTTATATAATGTTTTTAACTACCCAGTAATCTTAACAATTCAAGAAAATATTCAAATCTAAGGCACTTTGGCTTTAAATTTACTATAATTAACGCTCTTATGTTCTGATAATGTCGTGCATAGACGTCCGTATTCACAAAAATCTGCACGTTTATACACACATACACACACACACACACACACACACACACAATCAAAATACTTTTTAAAACAATGGGGGTCGCTGAATTGTAGCAAGCTTTTCCATTTATGATTAGTAAATCTAGTTTTTACTTAATAACAATATAGCCTAACCCGTACAAATTAATACATAGTTTTATAAGATTTAAAATTTTATAAATTATTCTAATTAGAATTTAAAAAATAAAAACAATTCTTGTAATAATTCATTAATTATCGAAATTTTTTTCTTACGATTATTATCTTAAGAAAAATATATCTTATTCATAAAAGGAATTAATTTTTTTTCTAATTAAATAATGTCTTAGTTTTTTGTATTTCACAATTCAGAACAGATTTTCCCGTTTGACAAAAAAAAATTGTAATTTAATTACTCTAATTATTTGTGTTTATAACTAAATTAAATAAGAAGCGGTAACAGATATAAGAAGCCTTTCTAAATTAATCTAATTCATTTGTGAATAAGTTCTGATATTAATCTGATTTTTTGCAAGAATGTCCAAATTAATATGTTTTCCAACGAAAAAGATGGTCACCAGCTGACACAAGAAAAACAAAATTTTTAACCAAAACTTTGAAGGTTCTAAAAATAATTAAAAAATATAATTTAATAATCATAAAATCTTTTGGCCTTTTCTCTTAATAACAACGTAAAGACTTTAAGGATAAAACTTTGTTTTTGTTGAGTTTCGGGCATTTTTTCATCATGGTATGTTCATTTCTTAGTGAATCTTTGAATTTTAATTTATCTAGACTTTTCAGTTAGCCTGATGTATATTTATCAGCGTTCTTAAATTGAAAAAAATTGAAAAAAATTGAAAAACTAATTCTACTTTTGTTTATAAATACTTGTTGCAAAATAAAATCTTTACATTTGCCTTCATAACGTCCAACAGGGAACAAAACGCATCGGATTTTCCTTTTGTCTTTATTCATATTGCCATTTTACAGATATATATTTTTAGCTATAACTGAATTTAAAAAAAATTATATCAGAATTTTCAATTTTTTGTAGATAGATAGATATGAATAGGATGTAATAGATAGATAGATAGATAGATAGATAGATAGATAGATAGATAGATGCCAGTAGTATATAATGGATAAATAGATATGAATAGGATGTAATAGATAGATAGATAGATAGATAGATAGATAGATAGATAGATAGATAGATAGATGCCAGTAGTATATAATGGATAAATAGATATGAATAGGATGTAATAGATAGATTGATAGATAGATAGATAGATAGATAGATGCCAGTAGTATATAATGGATAAATAGATATGAATAGGATGTAATAGATAGGATAGGATAGGATAGGATAGGCATGTAATGTAATATTGCAGTCCGTACTAATATCCTCGTTGGTTGGCAAACGGCTTTAGACTTGTGTTGTACTTAACTGAGGTTAGATCATTGAGATTTCTCATAGCGGATTGAAAGAAATTTGAGAATATGATTCCCCCCCGGCGTAATAGAAAAGAAAACGGCGCATCTTCTTTAAAATTATCCTAAAGTGATGACGTGTCATTCTCATAAAATAGTGGCCTATTTCCTTTTTGTTAAATATCCTGATGATCTGCATTAATAAAAAATAGTTCTATTTTCGCTCATTTCTGTCATTGTAAAGAAGATGATTGACATTTCGGATAAAAAAGTTGATATTTTCTCTTATTGTATCGATCATTACCCACATTATTAACAAAATGGTTACATAATTCCATTTTTTTAAAATAATCTTAAAGAGGATGAATTGCTGCGCTGATAAAACAGCTATTTATTTCCTATTTTCTACTCTCGAATAGCGGATTTGTTGATAAAGCATTTCCTCTTTCATAATATCGTAAAGAGGATAATCTTAAAAATATTAACACTGCAATTCCTCACTTAACGACCGGTTTCCGTTTGAAAATTGTGGTCGCTAAACGAATTAAATAAGATGCTGTACCTGAGCAATATTTAAGGCAAACGATGCGTGTATTGGGTTTAATATTAAAGTTTCACTTTTGCACCATTTATTTCTACATGTTTATACAGTACAGTAGTACTGAATAGAAAGCGTAATAAATGCAAAAATCAACGCACTATTCTGTACGTTACTTCGGTTTGCATACTGTTCAGTCGTCGGCATGCTTCCGTCTCGAGAGACGATGGAGTAGCGTGGTGCGCCACGAGCCTAGGCGGGATATATGGAGACCTGGGACGTCTAGTTTCCCCTCTCGGCCTTGCTAGCAGAGTCCAATACAGTTTGGTACCAGCGCGGCTGCAGGAGTTGCCGGAAGGTAGCATAATGTGCCGTCCATCCTCCTTAGGGGCTCCACTCCGGGTTTGAATTCAGAGTTGCCCTTCTCCTAGACCAGTTGCCATCCAAGGCTATAGATCCCAATCTGTTCTACTATTTACCCATAGCTGGAGGGAGAAGAAGAGGATTCACACCTTTCCCAATGGTATTAGCACGTAAGAGAATGTAATGGATTCGAATGGAATTCGAACTCGGCTCTCCAATTCCTCAATCGAAGCCGCTATACATTACTCCACTGTGTCTCCTCATACTGTTCAGTACAGTACAAGTAATTTTATTTATTTATTCTTCACCCTATCTATTAATTTGATTTATATTAATTCATTTATTGACTGGTAAGATTTAGTTGTGATTATTTCATTTTATAGCTTGTCGCTATAGAGAGTCAGTCGTTAAGTATAAAGTGGTTGTGCTTATCTATTTTCTCTTGTTTCTTAATACAAAGCGAATAATCTTTATATCTCAGGCAAAATAGTTATGTATCGCCTTTGTTATATTATCGTATAGAGAGAATGATCAATAGGATTCAAATAGTTACGCATTTCCTCTTTTCTATTATCAGCAAAGGGCGAATCGACATTACTTTTAAAATATTATTAGATTCCCGCTTTTTTAATGTTGCTAACAGGACACGTTTAATTACAGTTAAGATTAACGTTAAGAGTTTATGTATTTCGAATATTATTTATGTTTCCTCTTGACCATAAAGTGGAAAAATCTATCTATCTCACCTTTTATTTTTATTTTTTTTAATTGGATTATCATCATTACTGGTAAAACATTTACGTATTTCCGCTTTTCTATTATCGGAAAAAGGATGCTCAACACCGCTCTTAAAATATTTATGATCTTTCGCTTTTATATTAGCGTTAAGTGAATTCATTGCGGCTAAAATTCCCGTATGGAGCGGAGAAGGAAATAAACACCAAGAAATCCAAACAGCAAATGACACAGAAAATAGTTTCTGAGTCGGAGTATTCGCGCATCCTTCCGGTTAATAAATTAATACTTTGAAAATAAATATTTAACATTTTTCAACCAATGGATCATGTTCCTGACAACAAAATCTAGAACAGTCTACCCCAGCGAGAGAAATAAAAGGTTTAGTTCCACATTCCAACCATCTGAAGAAGGCCGGAGTGTACAACAGCCGAAACGTTGTGATAAACATGGCAACAAAGATGAGGACAATAGTCCGAATAATGTAAATAGTTTGTGTCTTTAGTTTGTTTTGTAGCCTTTTTCTCACAGCGTTTCCTGTCAACCCAGTTCTTCGCTGGTATTGTGAATATCGCTTAAAATGTAGCTGTGTTATAATTTTATTCTTTATTTAAGAAGATTGAACTTACTAAATTTTGATATTCTGTTATTCTATCGTTTTTTTTTTTCATGATTTTTTCATTATTCTTTCTGGTTTAAATCTTGTTCTATAAGAATACAGTCTTTACTTATCCCTCAATGCTTGTCGTTTTGAAGAGAATCTCATTGAATGTCAGTTTCTTTGTTTTATCTAATACAAATTTTGTTTTATAGGACTGAAAACTTTCAACATCAATCAAGCTTCATTTTGTTTTTGTTGCGTTTTATCAAAGCTTTCACAGTTGAATTATTCTTCATTGCAATTTAATTCTAACAACTACAAAATTGTTTAGCAGAAAACACCGAAAAAAACTGTGGTTAAAATTAATAATGAAAATACCTTAGGAATCTCAAAATAACTTAAGAAACGTGACTTTAAAATATTTCTTTTTCAAATGAATAAAAACAAACAAGAATTAAGCATTAAAAAAGTTTCACTTAAACAATGCAATCATAGATGAGTGCAGGTTGTAAAAACTGATTTCTCCTGTTAAGCAGAAGATCCGTTGTTGCATCAGATTTTTTCTTTTTCAAAGCGATCAAATGATAGAATGTCGCAATGAAGAAAAAAAAAAAATAAATGATAATGATAAACACACTGGTTCAGTATTGCTAACTGTTTCTTCCTTCATCGAGTAAACGTTCTTTAGGGTCGTCTGAAAACTCGGAAAAGAGCGGGAAATTTTCAGAACGAGGTTTCCCGCCGGACGATTTGCTATCTATTGACAAACGCCTACTCCTCGAGTGATGCTCTCGAGATGCACGATGAACTTTCCTTGAATTTATAGCCATGTTTTCTAGATTCTCATCGCAACTTAGATATTCAGATGTTCTTAATTTCAACTCTGTTTCCGGATCAAAATTTTTGAAGTAATACCCTCCGGACATTGTCGCTGCACTTGAATTGGGGTCAGTATTCGTTTTAGATCGGGTTTCTTTTTGTGCATTTTCCGCTCGCTGAAGTGAATTGTCTCCAGTCAAATTCTCGGATTTCTCTTTCTCGTTCCCATTCGAGGGAGTCACTGAATCTTTTGGCTTCTTTTTGCTTTCTTTGGCATCCGTGCTGTCCAGGTATTTCCTGATGTCGGTTAAGCTGATGTACTTAGGGGAGTTGTCATTTGAAGATACTTGCTTAGAGAGTTTCGGTGAATAAACATTATTCCGCGGAGGTAAGGGTGGCGCATACATTTTTCTTCGATAATCATCTTCTGTAAAAAAAAAAAAAATGATAATAAAGAAAACGCAGATTAAAAATCACGACAATCGTCTTTAAAATGATGGTAACATCTATTGTATATACCATATACTAACTATATAAATATCTATCTATCTATCTATCTATCTATCTATCTATCTATCTATCTATCTATCACTGCATATATATATATATATATATATGTGTGTGTGTGTGTGTGTGTGTGTGTGTGTGTGTGTGTGTGAAAAGTGTAAACATATATATATATATATATATATATATATATATATATATATATATATATATATATTATATGCGCGGTACTTATTAGAAAGCACTCAATATCAGAGATAGAGCTAACATATTTGATTGGATTAGCGCAAAAAGCGTGAAACCCAGGGTCACAAACTCACCAATCCAACCAAACATATATATATATATATATATATATATATATATATATATATATATATATATATATATATATATTGGTCGCGCAGGATGATTCCCTTACTTAGCAATGGAATATTTAATTCTTATGGTAACTCGATGCTAATAAGCGAGCATGCTTCGTTTTGCCATATTATTAGTAAGTAGCGAAACCAGGTTTCTAATACCTTGCTTTTTATTTCTTCTGCTTTGTGTTAATTTATTTGGATAATTTTTTTAAATCATTGTAAAGGCAGAAATATTTCTTATATACGATAATAAAATTAATAGTATACATAAAATCCTATCTTACTCATGCAGATAATATAAGCAACGATGCGTGTAATCTAGTAAATTATGAACAACATACATTTGAAGAAAATAGGTCAATAACGTATATACTCATGTATAAGTCAACTTCATGTATAGTGCGTCACCCGAATTCTTTGGGGAAAAAACCTGTTTTTTTTTTCATATAGCTCGTGTATAATGCGACCCCCCCAACCTAATGTGCAATACTTGTCGGCCTACTGTGGTCAAATATTGCAGTACTGGGCAAAATCCTGGACGTATTTTATATCAAATTATTTGTCTTCATTCTTTTTTGTATAAAGCTACCCCCAAAATAGTGAGAAAGAACACTTACCGTAACATCTTTGATGTAAAGATTTAGATACCGTACTTTTGTTTTCGTTCATGACTGATTACGGTATCTCCTTTACGCAGTTCCTTCCGCCTACGTAGCCTAAGTTTCTTCACTTTTGGCGCCACATGAAGAGCAAAACCTCATCCACTATGTATGCCATTTAAAATCAACAAATACCTTATATAAATGAAGAATTAAACAGATTTTCATCTAAAATTTGCATTCATCTTCGTTTCGCAAGTATTTACATCGTTGAAGTATTACCTTTCCAATGACAACCTTTTTTTCAGGATTACCGGTACATAATACAGGATATCCCACGATTAAGGATACATACTTTGGCTTATAATAATTCAAATCATTCACAGTAAAATGTATTCTAGACACATGTTTTTTTTTTTTTTTGCTTTATTTTGTTATAGAAACAGAGGTTGTCTAAATAAGTTCTGTGGTGTGTTGCCGAGGGGTGGGGGAGTTAGCCTAAGGTACTGTGAGAATGTAGGCCTACCAGCTAGGTTACGGACACTGAAAAGACATGATTTTTCACCCCTCCAGAAAAAAATTACTTATGCATATTGCAACCGGTCAACGAAAATGCACGATTTCAACCTCTTCAAAAAATTACCTGTGTATAGTGCGCCCCCTGATTTTGCGTAAAAGAATCATAAACCGTAATCGTAAAAGATTATAAACGCTCGCACTATACTCGAGTATATACGGAACTGAAACATTCCTTCCTATAAATGATTATCTTCTCATGTGTTCATTGCAATTAGGGCAAAGCTTCTCTCAAGATTTTGTTTTCTTTTTTCTTTTTTAATCATTTCACCTCAAGCAAGGCGAAAATGCCACTAGTACGCATGGGGTTTACCCGGAGAGATAATGAAAGAAAAGACGAAGATTAGAGAGGATTAAGGAAAGGACAAAAGATGAACAGGGATTTAAGAAGACAGAAGATGGCGATTGATATTGCATTTAAATGTTTGAAGATTATATTTATCAGGAATCAAGGAAACGGAAGAGAATTTCACAAGTGGGAAGTGCAAAAACAAAAACAAAAAACTGTTGGAGTAGAAGTGGCGGTTGCATTTAGATATTTCAACAGTAAAAGGGTGGGACCTAAACGCCAATCTAGTAGCATGCTTAAATTCATGCAGTCGGGGGGTGGGAAGCTCATCAGAGTAGATGCCATGAAAATATTTGTAGAAAAGACAGAGAGAAGCCACGTCGATGAGAAAGTGACTGAAGTTGAGGTACCTGGTCAGGATCGAATACATTGCAGATCCTTCTTTCGAGACGAATAACAGGAGCACCAGACCAGATATGGCAGCAATATTCAATGCACTGACGAATGGTAGATTTATAAATGTGCAAGATGGATTCTGATGAGAAAATTTTTCTGACACGACACATTGAACAAACTTTCCTTGCAGTAGATGCAGCAATTGATTCAATGTAGCCACTCCATATCAAGCCAGTGGAAGACGTGAGGCCAAGAAAGCGAAGTGTGTTGCTCTCCTAGAGTCTCACGTCAGCCATGCTGATGGCAGTCAGAAAAGGTTTTCTATGGTGGAAATTTGAATTGTTTTCATGCTGGCATTATTTTCTTTTGATATTGAGATTAGATGAAGAATATATGGTTCGGTGTTACTGCTTTATATTTAGAGATTCTTGATAAAATCCAAAGACGAATCAGCAATATTATTGGTCCTGATCTGCCATCTCGGTTTCAGCCACTTTCCCATCGCCGTAAAGCTGCTTTCTTGTGCCTTTTCTGTAAATACTTCCATGGTAATTGTTCGGATGAGTTCTTCGCTGAGGTATCTAGACTTTATGAATTTAAGCACAGTACTCAATTAGCAAAAAGGTTCCATAGGTTTGCAGTTGGCTAGATGTGACCGTAAGTTCTATGCTTAGATGTTCTTCTCTCGCAATTCTCGTTTCTGGACCTCTCATCCAACTTCTTGCTTTTCAGACAAGTTTGATCTTCAAAACTTTAAATGCAATGTCAATCGTTATCTACTGTCCTCCTGGTTACTCTTCTATTACTCTGTCTCCTCAATAATGCTTCTGCTTTCTAATTCTTTTATACCCAGTAACTCTTTGCGTCTTAGTGGCTTTACAGCCTTACATAGGGTGAATTCGATGAAAAAAATATTTAAATAAAGATTTAAGTTTATTTCCTACATAGTCAGTACTAAGATTTTGCTGTCGATAGGCGCGTTTTGAATAATTTGCATGAATTTACTTACCCAGTCGATCCTTCAGTAGTTGGTCCCATTCTTCTTTCTCGTTTTTCCTGGAAAAAATTTACCCAGATCTATATATAGATAACAATTTTCTCAGAAAGGAACAAATAATATTACATTTCCAGGTGTTTGAGAATCTGCATATATTAAAAAACACTTATAATTGTACTGGAATTGAATCACACCCCTATTCCAAATTTAACGAGAAAGTTACACTCAGAAAGCTTCTCCCCAAGAACTGCTACTTTGTGGAAGACTCCCACGTGGATGCTTCCCTATACACTACAATCTGAACTGCTTAAAGTCAAGGGCCATTCGTTATCTATCCTCACTATTCTCATAATCTATCACCTCATTCATATAATACACTTTATACTTAATAAGCATTTTAATAGTAAATTTCTACCTTAAATGACTATTGAACCTTAAACAACATCTAAATATCTGCGAACAATGGATAATTTCAAATAGTGAGTGAATCAATAATGGCCAATTAAAAATACATTTCTGTTCTCAAAATGAAACATTTTAGAAGGCCAGAAAAGTGGTAGAAGTTGTTTAAAAATATACTTGATTTTTATTTTCAAAAGTATGTTCAAATAAATAGGTGCCCTCATTAAGCGATATACCAATTAAACGATATCAAGTTTTTAAACTGATTAAGCGGAATGTAATCTTTTGAACACACACACACACACACACACACATTATTTTGAATCATGTAATGGCGACATTTAGTGAGTAAAACAAGACACGAAAATTGAAATTTATCAAAAAGGATGAGAGTTACATTTCACCTACCATCGAGGTACCCTACGACGGCACCAGTAAATCAGAATCATTAGAAAGAAGAAAAATATTAATATGACCACACCCAATGCAATGGCCAGGCTGTGCTGAATGGATTTGTCACAGCGAACACCCTCAATGGAAAGTTCTGCAATGGATGAAATGAAACCTCAGAAATAGAAATCACACACTTGAAAGACATTTGCAAAAAAGAAATTTGAATGCAAACTTAAAAATGACAAATGTTGTCACAATTCTATGGATTTTCATGAACTTTATCTACTGTGGAATTATGAAATATTTTAAGTTTTTGTTCCAGTTTAGGGATTAAAAAAAATTAAATAAATAATCTATTGTAATGAATAAAAAAAATGAGTAAGTAGAGAACGCTCTCTGCATCCTATCAGAATGGCTGATACCCAAATCCACGAGAGCTTCTCTCTGCACCTGCTTGGTCTCACGCTTTCCACTGACCTGAGGTGGAACAACTACATTGAATCAATAGCTTCATCTACTGCAAGGAAAGTTGGTTCTCTGTGTCGCGCCAGAATGTTTTTCTCGCCTGAGTCCATCCTTCAAATCTACTAATCTACCATTCGTCTTTGCATACTGTTGCCATATATGGTCTGGTGCCCCCGCTGTTCATCTCAAGTTCCTCGAGAAACGGATAAGCAATGTGATAGGTCCTGATCTGGCATCTTGTCTACCATCACTTTCTCACAGACGTGCTTTGACATCCCTTTGAACTTTTCTACAAATGTTTTAATGGCAACTGCTCTGATGAGCTACTTTTACTGGTACCTCAACTGCATGAATTTAAGCGTGCTACTAGGTTGGCATTTTGGTCCCACCCTTTCATTGTCAAAACAGTTAAATGTAACCGCCTCTTCTACTCCAGCAGCTTCTTCTCTCGCGCTTCTCGACAGTGTAACTCCCTTCCTCCTACTTGCTTCCTTGATAGCTATAATCTTTAAATATTCAAATATAATGTCAATCGACATCTTCTGATGCTTTGATCCTGACCCCCGTCCTTCTCTATATCCTTTCCTCAGACACCCCCCTCTTTACTGTCACTTTCTGTAACCCTCCCCCTTGCGTGCTAGTGACACTCCCGCTTTGCTTGGGGTTAAATGTTTTTAAAAATTCCATTCTAATTGCAAGGTTTATGAGATTCGTTATGGTAAATTCAAATAACAATGAAAAAGTAATATGTTTACTTTTCAACTCTTACACCTCTTAGGTTGGAATAAAAGGGTAGGTTGGAAAATTCACTTACGGAAGGAAAAAGGAGGAGATTGGAATAAACAGGCAGGTTGGTAAAAAGTGGACAAAATATAAACGGAGCGTATGAAAGGACAATGAAGAAAAAAAAAAGTCAAAATTTAAATAGCTGACGAGGCCTGGACGTGATAGTAGTTGTAACCATTTTAACGATTATATGAATAATCTGAAAAATGAGGAACCAAATCACAAAATTTATCATTTCTATGATAATACCGACCTGACCTGACTGGTAAAATATTCCGTTTTAAAAAGAAACATTACACAAACTGCAGAGAACATTAAAATATCGTGGAGAAATATTACTTGAGTATGTTCTAAAAGCAAAATGGAAAGGAATTTCCAGTTAACGATCAGTTATTTAAAACTGTTCAAAGGTATTTGCTTAGTGTGGTTAACGATCAGTATCCAGTGATAATCGAACTCACGATGAAACAGTAGCAGTATGCTCTTTTGTTCGCTAAAACTTACCAAGGCCTTTAGACTATTCATTATTTCCAATGTACATTAAACGTATATCGCTTGAATAAGGCCGGAGCGTACATCGGTCCAAACGCCGTGAATATGGCAATAAAGATGAGGACGACAGTCAGAACGATGTAAATCGTGTAAATACTCTATCTCTGTCTTACCACTTATGACTTAGCCGACAGTAGCTGTCCACAGCTTCTTTTATTTCTTTTTTAAATATTTGTAAGCTGTCATGATTTTTTGAGATTAAAATACTGGAATAGTTTCCTATTGGCTTCACTACGATTTTCAATTCAAATATTTCCTTCTTCTAGATTGGTTGCAAGAGAGATCATTTTGTCCCGTGTTTACAGCGGATAATCCACAAAATATTTATATTCCTTTTTAGAAATTCATAAGCATATTAGTGATTACCAAATATAACGTACATAGATTTTGGAGTGGACACCTCGAAGCGGTGTAACGGTTAGCCAATTTGTCTCGCTACAGAACAATTATGACTAAATAGTGAGTTCGATCCTCACTGGGTGCCCCATATTTTCGACCTTGTGCCACATCTGAGCTACGCTTGGAAAATCACTATATAGATTTAGGAGATTTCTCTTTCTCACAATTGCTTAACGTAGCAAATAAAAGAAATTCCACATTTAGACATTATCTTATTAGAACGCTCTCTATATATACAAAATAAATTGCCAAAACTGTTCCTCACAGTACACTGGAGAAACATGTATACATTTTAAAAAAAAAAGCATCTATGAGCACAAAAGAAACCTTATAAATAAAAATTTAACAAATTCACTTGTCATACATAGAAATAAATTCAACCACAATTTTGATTTTATAAATGCTACACTCATAAAAAAAAAGAAAATAATTTACTCGGAAGAAAATTCTCGATATATATATATATATATATATATATATATATATATATATATATATGAGAACGAATCAAATATAAATTCAAACGTTCACAACATTAATGAAAAAATAGTACTCAATACAATAATAGAGCAATATTCTTTATTATAGGATATTGCATTCGAACATATGTAAAAATGCATTTATGTAGCAGTTTTACATATGTTCGAATTTAATAACCTATAATAAAGAATTTAAAAAAGTATATAATTGCTTAAGTGTTCTTATCAATGCTTTTAAAATCTCTGAACCTTGTATAGCATGAAAATAGCCGACTTCTATTTACCTCTTTTCAACTCGCACCATTTTCCGGCGAATGTTGAACTGCACACGCACCAAAATTCTTTGCCTCTCTGGTAACAACTGCCGCCGTTCTTACACTTGTTTTCCTTGCATTGTAAATATGGCTCTACAGAAAGAGAAAGAAAAAAACTACACGGGAGTCAAAATTGTTTTTTAACTGAATCATTTGTCGGTATTTCTCTAAAAATCACCGACGCCTTTCATTTTATTATTAGGACATTTTCCCCCAGTTTAAATACAAATTACATTTTAAATTTCCTTCTCAAGAATATTTTAACATCTAAATACATCTAAAATAATTCGGAATGTAACTTTATTAATCAAACTTAGAGTATTAAGTATGGGTGATTCCAAAGTTCATAAATACGACTGTTTAGATTCCTTTTGTTCAAGGCTTTAAAATGAGCAACAGAAAGCCGTAATTAGAGAGAAGACGATGAAATCAAAAATAGCTGATCATATATAGATAGAAAAGGATAGTCATCAAGCTCTGTGGAATGAAGTAGAAATACTGGACAGAGAGCAATACTGGAGAGTTAGACGTCTGAAAGAATCAGCGCATATGCTAGGCTATGAGGATCCCCTTAGTAGGCTTAGCATAGAAATAAATACAATATGGGAGCCGTTAATAAAGAAAGAAAGACAAATGAGGGGAAGACTTCAACAGCTGGAGGAGAAAAAAAATGAAGTCTTGCTGAGTGCAGTCAATCATGACAATTAACATCAGTAGGCAGGTTGGGCTCCAGGTTTTCCACCCAGATTTGTTCTACGGCTGGCCCAGGCAGTGTAGTACTAAATAAAAACAAGACGAAATATCCGTAGGCATACACAACAGAACCAAAAAAATTTCCTCCGTTGTATTAATTAAAGGGTTCAATTCGAAATTCACTGACGATTACTTGATGGTCGAAACGTGATAACAAAGATAAGGAAATAGTCCTCATGTAAATTAAGTATTTTTGGTATCGTTTGCTTTCTTAAATAAATCCAAGCATCATTCCCTTCGTGGACAGCTTCAACATTAGTCATGGATTAACGTCCATTTTTAATGCCTCTTATATAAAAGCTGATGAAAAGTTCTTGACTCGGCCAAGAAACCAACCACCTCGCACATATTTGGTCATTTGATTATATTTTGGGAACTGAATCGGGTTGTTAACTTTTCAGCCCCCACCCTCGTATTATCCAGCAAACATTTCTTACCTTCAATTATGTTTTCTTCTTCTTCATCTTCATCATCGTCAAAGTCATCTTCGTTCAAATCGACACTTCGCTTGAGCCTCGTCAGATGAGCTGCACAAAGGAATATTTTTTACAGTTTGAGCGCCAGCAACAAATGAATCCAAAGAATGTTATTGAAATAAAGAAAATGGTTTCTTCACAACTTTCTATTGAAAATAAATTATACAATTCTGTTTTATTTGACCAACTGAGGAGACAACAGATGATAATTTCATTTATATTCTTTCCTTATTTAGAAGTGACATCAGATTCAGCAGTTAGTTCCTTTGAAAGGCAGCAAAGAAAAGCAACCAAGCTCTTCGACCTGAAGAAAATGTACAGCAGTAAAAATTCATGCTGTTTTGACTGGCCCCTTAAAATCCGAAATCACGTTTACTTTCACATTTTTCAATTGTCAACGATTTTACCATTTTCTATAGGCTAGTTATTCCTTTCCAAATCTTTGCTTGCGAAAAAACCGTTCCCCTTGGATTTTAAATTCCTCACCAGAGAGCAAGGTGACTTTCAGCTGAGAATTGCTACCGTAAAGAAAATAATTAAGTGTTGTTTTCAGGCCGGTAAATGTTATTAATAATGTTTATTATAAACAGAGCATTTACTTAAATATTTGTATCTATAAAAAGAATGTATAAACATAAAAATGTCTTAATAATAATAATATATATATATATATATATATATATATATATATATATATATATATATATATATATATATATATATATATATAAAGACATTTTTATTAATGTTATTTTATTAATAACATTTACCGGCCTGAATATTTATTATAAACAGAGCTGAAATACTTAAATATTTGTACTATAAAAAGAATGTATAAACATAAAAATGTCTTAAAATAATTGTCGAACTCTGTCCATTTCATAATTACAGTCATAGCACGTCAGACTTAATTATAGGATACAGGTT